GCTGTCAGCTTTTGATTTTGTTAAATAAAATTGTAATATTAATGAAGAATTCGGAAAAAGTACCTCCGCCAATTTTGAGACTGTTTAGAACTTGGATATTGTTATCATATAATTCGTGCATATGCATCCAAAAACTAAAAAAGGAGAAACAATCCATACAGTTTTTTGTCTTGACAAAAGAACTGCTAGTTAAACAATTTTCATCAGTAGCTTGCCAAGTGGGTTGACGACCACCCTCTCCTTCAAGTCTGCGTGCTAGACTTTTTCATGGCTCCTCACTTTGCCACTATTCAACGATAACAAATTGTTACTGAACAACCTATCTGGTGCAAATACATGCAAATTTGCGTTCCAAAAAAATCGAGATTTTTCTCATAGCTTTCTAAATTTTCGGATCAATGGTAATAAAAAGATTGTAAACAAAGGTAAATAAAGATAATAGGTAGACAAAAAGTAAAAACCTCCTCATGTTAAATTTTCGGGTAATAATACAACTGCCTGATAATAAAAAACAGTTTACTTTGCAGGTTTAATTATTTTGCTGAAGTTAAACTCGTTGCGTGTATCCCTCACCGAGCGCCCATGGATTCTAAACGTTTATAATGGATTTCCGAAACAAAAATAATCCATTTTAATCCATTACCGATGTAAAACTCAGACCACGAAATCGATTATTTCTGAAAAAAATAATCCGTTATAATCCCTTACAACTGATTATAATTACTGATTTTTGGCGCTGAAGTTGATTATTTTTGCCAAGGAAATCCTTCATAACTGATTTTTTTTCTATTTTAATAATGCTCTATAATCTATCATAATCCATTTTGTTTTTAGAATTAATTTCAGTTAACTTTGCAGAATTTTTGTAAATTTAGCAGGAAATTTGCAAAATGTATGTCATGCCTTTTTTTAAACACCATGTCGTAACGTCACCACCTCAAGTTTTTTTACCTCCCTCCAACTAAAGAGCAGTGGTAAACTAGGGGGTGTCAATCAATAACCCCCTCGCCTTCCCCAAAATCAACCATCAAAAATACCCACGAGTTCAACTATAAGGAGGTGGGAAGAAGCGAATTGCAGTTGTAATAAACTGACAGAGGGGGAGAGCGGTGTTAAACTGGCAGGGGGGAAACAGGGGAGGGGAGGCAAAGAAAAGTGGGGGGAGGGGTTTAAAATGGAATACATAAGAGAAAAAAATTATAATTATTTGAAAACGCAACTTTTTGATCGAAACTTTCCAAAAAGTGCATAAAAAATCTTTTTCGACCTGGTTTTTTTCAAAAATTTGCCTGCGGCGCAGAACTTTTCGCCAAAACAGCGTCTTTTACTGCTTTAGGATCGCTCGGAAATTCACTTTGATCAACGTAAAATCAAGCTCTTCAAAATTTTCAATTTTTTTTTGAATATCCGCCCCCTTCGAGAAAGTTGACATAGAAAGTTGACATGAAAATTTTTCAATGGATCAAAATTGATGATGATGGATTATATTATTACATTAACATAAAAAGTTTGATTATATTCCATTTTATTTTATTATAATCGATTATTTTGTAAAATCAAAGATACTGACCACATCATGACAATATAATCAATAATGATCCATGGACGCTTGGTGCCGGATAGAACTTGGATTTTTACGATATTATTTTCTACAAAACTAAAAAATCAAATTCGGCAATTTGTCCATTTCTTAGGAATCGGCACAATTCGCAAATTTATTAATATTGACATGTCTAGCAATATAATTTACCTAGGCTCAATTTTCCAGTTCAGATAATTGGTGGGCTTAAACGTTTTCAGATTCAAAACAACAGAGAATTGAGATTCTTTTTTAAATTTATCTGCAAAAAGAGTTCTTTTTATTCCAAGGTTCCAACTTTGCCACAAAATATGAATAGGAATACTGTTTTACTGATCTCCAGTGGTGTTTTTTACCCATTTAGGTCTTAGGTTTGCAGCATATTTAGTGTAGTTTTCAGTTCTTATCTTCTGTAACCTATCTATACAAATCATAATTTACCAAAAATTCTGTCAATATGCTCGATCACTACGACCTATTTTTTCGAACTGGCAAAAACTTTATTGCAATTTTTAAAAATGAAACGTTCAGTTTTTTTTTTCAGACGCTCTTAATCAAGAATTCCATTAAAGTAAACGTGTTTTTTTTGAAAAAAAAAAACATTTTTCAAAGTCTTTCAACCAAAGTTTTGATGATTTTTATGTAAATTATTTCCGTTTGATCTTTAGCAATAAGTACAAATTTTTTTAAAACTTTTTTTAGCAAATCAATAAGTTGTTGTTATTATAATTAAAGTATTTTAAAAAATGGTATTTATTTTGGCTGTAATTAAACAAATTTCAAGAAAAGATTTAAAACTGGTTCGAAAAAATATTTTTTCTCTCACTTTACTTTTGTACATTTTGTTTGATGTCAAGACTCATAAGCCTAGAGGAATCTGACATTTCTTCGAATTTGCACGGACTCATTCCACGGCATTTTGTGCACGGCATTTTATGCAAAAATTTTCTTTGAGTGTTCACGTTTTTTTGTAGTAATGCAAATACTACAATAACTATTTTTCTAACTTTTTATATACCAGTCCGATTGAAATAAATATTTCATTATCGGACTCATTTGTTCTCCTGCATTTTGGTGGGGATATTGAAAACAAAAACTTCACCAAATAGGCGGAGGGGCTTACCCTCTTGCTTTCAAAAGCAAACAACCGGCGGCAAAGTCCTCAGTCTTTTTTTGCAATCAAAATGAAATACTTTAAATTTTTAGTTATTTACGGCAGGTGCAAAAATTAATAGTTTGCACTGTTCTAACAATTTTTTGGATTTTTTTAAAAGTACAAAACCAATAGGTTGCGACTGCCAGATTTATCAGGTGTACGAAGAAGAGTTGGAAAATGAATCCGAAACCTGCAGATTTGCTTCAGCCAATTAGCAGAGAAATAAACGAACCAGATTTTTCAAAATAATTGTTTCCGCAGTCTCTGTCGAGTTTGGACATTCTCTTAATCAAATTGAAAAAATTTAAAGTAATTCTGAAAAGTTCAAGTCTCCAGAAAGGACAGAGGTAAAGTTTCAATGTTTTCTTTCAGCTCAAAATTGCATAACTTAACCTAAATACACCAACTGTTTTTGGCAGTAAGAACATTTTTTGAACCATTTATAACATTTTTTTAATCAACCCGTTAATTTAGTTGTTTACACATTTATGAATTTAAATCTCAAACCATGTTTTTTTCTAGTAAATTTGGAGTTGATTTTATAAGTAAATGTGATTTCATATTCAATTTTGTTTCGAAAAAAAAACTTTAAAAACTATTCAGCAAATATGCAAGGTTATGACAAAAAATTTCATAAGTTCAGCGCTCTGCCCCCTCAAATTAATAAAGTATATGCACTAAAGGCGCATAAAGAAAAATTTTTCAGGGTCTATCGGCAAAACACATGTCATAAAACAGGACCAATGGGGACCTTTCTGTGGTAAAGTGGTCGAATCCCTATAGGAAGCGAAGGTCCATTTGAAGAAAAAAAATGGTTTGAAAAATAGTCTTGAGATGAAAAAGATTCTATACAAAAAAAAATTCTTTTCAGCAAACTACTAATAAATTAGGAAGCAAATTAGAGGTTTTATCAATTTTTCTTTTTCTTCAACAAAATCGAAATATTTACCAGAAAAATAATTTTAAAGAAAAAACTTTCATCTGAGCATTAAAATTGAACATAATTGAAAACCTTGGCAGATGCGTGGTAAAAATTTCTCGAGAGAAAATCTCGGCAAATTTTTTTTAAGCTAAATTTCTAATTCATGTTAGTTTCTCCCACCATTTTTTTGCGCCACAATCAAATTTTAGGAAAAAAAGTAACGGGCTAACAAAGACGCCTATCAAAAATTTTTTGGGTGATTGAACATATATGCATCTCGTTAAATAGAAACGATGGGAACAATTTTAGCGGCAAGGTTGCGATGGGTGGAGTCTGTACCTCTACTAAATCCATTTTTTTATGAAAAATTTCAATAGCGACAAAAAATACTACTGCTCTTATTGCAATGTTGAATACAGAACAAAATCAAAACTATAATGTAGTTATTTGTATGCAAATTAATTGTAAATAATTTAAAGAAGTCTAAGCCCAGAATATTTTAAAGTTTAAAGCAACTTAAGAATGGATTAATTTCAATAAAACTGATTTCAATTTATACGATCTTCAACAATGGTACAATCGCTCCAACGGAGTGATTACGATCAAGTTTAGACGTCAAGGGACGCCTCTCATCCCTCAGGGATTCGACCCACAGCCGATCCAAAAGGTCCGCCTTTGTAGTGTTTTGACAATTTTGCCAGAATAACCCGAAAACTTTTCGGAAGGCGCCTTTGGCGCCAATATATACAAATTTTGAGAGGGGAGCTCCACTTTGCCCCTATTTAGAAGCAAATACATCAATCTTGTTGGGCTTCAGGCGCTACTACCCAAAATTGGTGCTTATGCAAGGAAGAGGGGAGTGATGTGCAAAAATTTTTGTCGCCCCCAAAACATTACAAAAATGGTTGCAACCAATTGAAAAAAATAATTATGCACTGCAGTCCGCGCATTTTGAAGTGGACGAAGTTTTTGGAGATTTTCCCGTTAAAAAATTCAGTACAGTTGCTTTTACCAAAAACTTAATCGTCGACTAACTGTTTATTGTATAGAGAACTCTTTTAAAGGTGAGAAAACTGTCCATCTATTACAAAGTCAATAGATTCAATTAAAAAATGGCTGATTCAAACATTTAGTTGGAAAATACACCGAGCTCTGATGATCTTAATATGCTTTTGAAATCTTGTTTTCAATAATGATAATGTTTAAGAAAAATCGCCGTTGACACCATCATGGTGGTTGTCCTCGAAAAACTAGGAAAAATACGTTTAAATCAGAATAATTAATGAAATAGCAGCAGTTACTATTTAAATCGTTTTTAAATCAACATTTAAATTGTAGGAAGCGCCAGTCATGATATATCAGTTTCATTTGAAGTCATCAGACGAATCAAAAAATTGTAAAACTAAATTTTTGTGCATAATTCAATCAATTGGCTATCTAAATTTTCTAATTTAAATTAGGCAGTTTTATTGGTCTGAATTGCTGTTCTCAATTGGCAAAATCTGAATGTGCTGTTTTTTGTTCACGAACAGTTCACGCGTTCCGCTCGATCGGCCCTTTGTACGCATATTTCCGTAACTGAATTGCAGAAAATTAAATCCACAACTATTCAGAGACAAGACACTGCTATTCGATTTCCAGGAGAATGTATCACACTCTTTCCAGGTGTTCTCTTCTCGCCGCATAATGGTCGCAGTTTTTGGAGAGAGAGTCCAGATGATTAATTCGTCACCCAAAAGTGTCAACTGGTCGATTTTGGAATAGCCGTGTCGAGTTTGATAAATGATCTCTGTCAGCTGGTTTGCGAGATTCACGATCCAGATATTAAGTTGATCGTCAACAAAAGCAACCATTGAGAAGTTTGGCACCTCTTTTGCAGGACTTGAGTAAACATCACTGGCAGTCGGTTTGATTTCGCAGTCGATTTCAAGTCTCGGGTGCGATTCAAATTTCACCTTCCGCAAATCTTCATCCCAAAACGCCCAAGATGTTTTAAAGTCGCTCAGATAAGGCGCAATTGGGTTTTGGTACAACCAAAAAGGCTGCTGATCATTTTTCGTTTCTTTCACGTCAAAAGTGAGAAAAGTTTGGTCTTCAAGAAGGAAAATGAACTCACTACCCACTGGACAAACTTTTTCGATGTTTTTGTCAATATTAATGTTTTTTACAATCGGATTTTGACTGGCCAGCTCGCCGTTTTTGAACAAGGTACATGCATAAACTGTGGCATTGCCATCGTTATGGTGTTCTACTCTGAAAACCCGATTTTGGCTGTGGAAAAATAACTCATTTGAAACACCGGCAAAATTAGTAGGCGAAACGTGAACTGATCTTTCGCTACACACTTTGACTTTTCGCTTGATAAATTCAGGTGGTTTGACAGCCCCGAGCATTATACTCGCTCCACTACGCTGGGTCGCCGCAATGTTATCATGGTCGATGTGAAAACTCCGCAAAAACACACTGAACATGTTCACGTCAAACTGTTTTTGAGACACTTTTATGTGGTCTCTTTCAACATTTGGGAATTCAGTAATCAGAACACCGTCTGAGAGATGCAAAAGACGTTCCAAACTTGTGTCACTCTCACCTGACTGTGAAATTAATTCGGTTATCCTTTCTCTCGCAACATTCAACTCGTCGTGGCGCTGAAACTTCTGCTTCATATCTTCAATGAAGTTGTCCACAAACTGGTGCAAATTATCACGCAAAATTTCAACCAGTTTTCTTTCAGAAGTTTCCTTAGTTTCTATGCATTCTTCGACCATCGCCAATTTGTCTTGAATTAGTTTTTGGTTCGAAGCCAACTTTTTCCGCAAATTGCCGATTCTGAACCGAACGTTACACGCTTTTTCGGCTAGTTGACTAATTTCATGACCTTTATGTCTGGAAAAACACTCAACACAAAAACTGACGTTGTCGGTGTCACAAAACATCTCGTGCATTTGCCGGTGTTCGCGACAAATAGCGGGGACATTTCCTTCGCAGTCCAGAATCTCTTCGCCACTCTTTAAGTGTCGCATCACACAGCTCTTGCAGAAGGGTCCAGACTTTTTTCCAGAGCTTCAATATAAATTAAATGTAAGTTCAATATAAAGTATGGATAAAGTGACCTCCTCCCCCTAATTAGACCCTAAGTTCGAATGTTTCACGCCACTATTCATTTTGGTTTCAATAGTGCTGATATAAATTATCCGGACAAAATGAAAAATTTGAAACTTGGAACGCATTTTTCTCAAATGAGGTTAAGATTAGACAAAATGTTAAGGAAAAAAATTGCTTAAAAGTTCACCAGAATTTCACGAGAATTTTCGAAATTCGGAACCAAAATTTTACCCCAAAAATAAGTAATTTTGGCTTTTCTTAGGTAAAATCAGGCTTTTCTTACGCTAAAATTAACAAGCTAGTTAATGAGAAACCTACTATTTATTTTGTTATGCTAGTTTGTTATACTAGTTAATGAGAAAGCTATATTTCAAAAGAAGCCTCTCACACAGCTCAACAAAAACTCTAGAAGAATAAAATCTCCAAAGATCTATGAAGAGAATATACGAGAATATCTATGAAGAGAATATCTGTGAAGAGAACCCCCAATGTTTTGCGCAATTTTTTAGAGGTTGTACGTTTCGTAAGTTTTGGAATTTTGTTGGGCATCGTAAGAGGCTCACTTTGATTTAGTTTCGGCAACAATTGGCACGTTAATTTTAGCGTGACTTTTGATTGACTAAAACGCGCCGCCAGGTACCACAAATAATCATCGGACTGGGCTGAAGGATATATCAATTTAAAGCTCTTTCAGTCGTGATTCGGACGACATTTGAAAATTTCAAGAAAGTTTTCCCAGTGTCGAGAAAAACCGGTTTAGCATTTTGATCAGCAAAACCATTTTACGTTGAAAAACTTAAACATGGCGAGATAGTGAAACCCAAATTTACATAAATGATAAGTTGAGTAAACTTAATGAAGTGTAAATCTTAATGAGTAAACTTAATGAGTAAAAAGACAGGAACATTTTCTCGCATCTCCATTTGTCATAAGCAAACAGACGAAACCACTCGAACAAAAAACTAGCAGACTAAATAAGTTTTCTCTGGTCTTGGAAAGTCAACAGAAACGTATCGATTCTTGAACAGTAAACTTAATAAGAAACAAGACAGGAACATTTTCTCGCATCTCCATTTGTCATAAGCAAACAGACGGAACCACTCGAACGAAAAACTAGCAGACTAAGTAAGTTTTCTCTGGTTTTGGAAAGTCAACAAAAACCTATCGATTCTTGAACAGTTTCTACGGTTTAACAAGCATGCTGGCGGAAACCCAAAAAGTGATACACCCACCACTGAAATATTTTCCGTAAGCTATTTCTTACGAAATTTTGAAATTGTCAAAAGGACCCGACGCGGAACATAGTGATCTGCAAAAAAAATTGAAAAAATAGATGACGCAAAAGCAGCGTGAAATTTAAGTAAGAGAGAACTTGAAACCATTTTGAAACCATCCTTTTTTTTCAAGTAAAATAAGAAAAAACGAAGGTGATCGAAGAGCTAAGCTCCTAAATCGCGGTGAGAGCTAAAGTCATAAATGATATCTTTAAATAGCTTACATAAATTTTTTTCTGCATTACGAGGCCAAACTGTGTATTTTGTAAAGTCAGCGGTTTCCTCAACAAAGACTCTCTCTCTCTCTCTCTCTCTCTCTCTCTCTTTCGATCTTTCTTTGATCTTTCGTTTTCTTTGATCGTTCCGACAAAATCGTAACAAGTTTAAAGACTTGTACCGGGATTCCAGAGACCTGCGCACATTAAGGTGTAAGCCTATCCAATGCACAGATTGGCCTCGTAATGTACTAAAGTTAGCGCGCCGTTGCAACCATTGTTGGTCCGAAATATTGATTTTCATGGGAGCCCAGAGCAACATTTAGAATTGAAATATCGAAATCACTGGCGACAATTATTAACAAATTAAAGCAATTAGATATGTTCCGTGAAGAACAAATTGTTTGGAACGCAAGTCAAGGAGGATTAGGCGCGCTGATTGAACATCACAATACAGATTGAGCTTCACGGTTTTGAAAACGGCGGAGAAAAATTATTCAACTAAGGAAGTCGAGTTGTCAGAAGTAAGCAGTAGAGTTGTTAATTTCCCGGGTTGACCAAAAATGCTTATCATACAATTCTCATAAATGGGAAATTTCTTTTCATAAAATTTCATACAATTCCATACGTACAAAAAATTATATGAAAACTCTATGATAAGCTTTTTCCCATAAATGGAAATTGTATGACAGGCATTTTCTCCATAAACCAAAAACTTGTTTTTTGTTCGTAAATTTATTTTTTGACAAATTTTCGGTTGTGTTTCCAACCGAACACAAGTGACAAAGACCATGGTTACTCAAAGCACCAAAGGTTGGACGGTCTGCACTTACAATGTATAGAAAACGACCTGAATTGTCTTCGAGCTGTCTTTCACAATGATATAACAAAATAAACAAACTTTCAATTTTTAGCAAAATTTTTCAATGATGATTATTTTAAATTTGTGAATTCTCAATTTATCAGACATTGATCAAGGCATACATAAACACGCCATTCAAAAGAAATAAAAATTTTCAGCGTTTTTGAAAAACAAATTGAAGTGAAAAGAAAAAAAGCCAAAATTATCGTATCCAGGACTACGTTATGCGCACGAAAACTTAAATTTGGCATGCAAAAAATTTTTTTTCGGAAAATGTTTGTTTGCGTACAAAATTCGATTTGCGCTTGAAATAAAAACAAAAATTTTTGTTGGGGCCAATTTTCAAAATTACTTGTGTCGTATATTGAAATTGTATTACAAGCATTTTTTTCAAAAAAAAAGTTCAAAATCAATTCTTTTTTGTCACCAGTCTGTTCAACTGTTCTCAAAAAGCCGCAGAAATGGTTTAAATTTTTTTCTATTGTTTTTCGAAAATGTATGAAAATTGTATGACAAGCATTTTCTCCATACACTTGATGTATGGAATTGTATGACAATGATTTTTGTTGGATGGAATTGTATGATAAGCATTTTCAGTGTATGGAGGTCAACCCGGGTTAGTATTAAACAGCCTATCTGTCCCCAAATTTCAGTGGTAGTTCTGATTCATACCAAAATTCCGCATAATTTTGATCAAAAGTTTTTACATTTCCAATCATATCCCAGTCGAATCCCCGGTTACCATACCCAGTTTTTTTTGCAATCAGAAAATTGCCAAAATCAATTAAACAGCCGGTTGCCGAGTTGTTTGAGAAATTGAAATCCTTGAAAGTTTGAATATGCTAATGCGTGAGGCGATGTTAGAAAATGAAAAAGTTTTGGAAGATATTCGAGGTCTATCTAAAGATAAAACCCCAAAAACAGGAAAAAAATGACTAACAGGGCAATTTGCGCTTTCATTACTTGAATGACGTTGCCGTCGTCGAACGTTGCTGATGAGTGGACGGTCGGCGAGTTAATCCAAAAAGGATGCAAGACTCTGTACAAGTCGGTTACGTTACTTACATCATGGCCAGTGGAAAATGCCACCTACTGAAGATGGCTATTTGATTCCCGCTTATAAAACGTACTCTTACAATTACGAGAGACATTGTAAACCAAAATATTCAAAAAACGACTCCCCCGTAAAATAAAGTTGAAAAAGGTACCTACAAAGAAGCAGTGGTTTAGAGCAGAATTCAATTCAAAACGCGATGAGCTGTCGAAAGTTCCAGCGATAGAAGAGGTGAAAGCGAGAATAACGAGCACCAGAAAAACGCAGAAAAACCAGCAAAAAATCGCCACAAGCCAAAGATGACTGAAGGAGGCGAAAGTTGCGATCGCGATGAAGAATCGATGCCAAATGAAGGAAAATTAAACCCCCAATCAGCGAGCGATGAAACCGGCGGTCAACAAAGTGTCGAACCGAAGCCAACGGCATCGATGAGAGAATCAAAAAACGATGCACAGGCGCCATCCGGAAGCTCGGAAAGAGCTAGAAAAGCGATGATGAAGCTTCGCGGAACGATCATATGCAAAATTGAGCTGCAGAAAAATGGGTTTGGAAAAATGTGTTTGGAAAAATGTGTTTGGAAAAATGAGAAAACACAGGCGCGGATATAGGAGTTTCTCGAGAGGTGGGCTGATTTTCAAAAAAAAATTGAAAATGTAATGACCTTTTTTAAAAATTGATTCTCTGAGCTCTCTGACCACTATAAAAACCCTACTTTGAAAAAATTTTCTGCGCCGCGGGCAAATATTAGAAAAAAGGCCAAAAAAGACGCGTTTTTAGGCATTTTAAAAACGCGTTTTTAGGCGTTTTTAGAAAATTTCGACCAAAAAATTGCGTTTTTTCGGCGCGCGCTCCCCCCTCAAAATTAGTATAGACTGGCGCCCAAGGCGCTTTTAGAAAGATTCGACCCCTTCCGACCCAAAGGGTCCCCTTTTGTACTAATTTAAGATATCAATTTTTGGCTGACGGATCCTAAAACTTTTCTACTAATTTTGAGGGGGGAGCATGCAGCGAAAAAACGCGCTTTTTTGTCAAAAACTTTCCAAAAAAGTGTCCTAAAACGCCTTTTTTGGCCTGTTTTTTTTTCAAAATTTTATCTGCGGCGGAGAAAATGCGGTCAAAACAGGGTCTTTTGAGTGCTCTGGGAGAGCCTGGAAACTCAAATTGCTAAAATATTTCCTGCCCAATAAACCGCGGTTGTTTGGATTTATGGAGCATTTCTTTCAATTTAGACGCAAAATGTATCGAATATTTTCATACCTTTCACATGTTTTGCACGTGAACAGCGATGTTCGGGGCACTTCTTCATCTGAGTGGTTGACACAGTGGTTTCCCCGCGTCAGATCCGAGCCGAAAGATGACGAAGAGCTGTTCCCTGCTCGGCAGAAACTCTCGTCTCCATCGGCCATCACAACTCAGTTGCGGTTTCAGTGTCGCAACGGTACTTAATCTATTCTGACTAGAGGGGTTTTTGTTTACAGAAAAGAGGAATGCGATTGTTAGAAATACTAAAGCATACAGAATGCAATGGCTTAATTGCGAAAGTTCTTTGACGTAGTATCTGACCTTTGAACCCAAGAAGTGTGATATTTACCCAAGAAGTGTGATATATTCAGGTTAAATTATAAAGCAGAGATTCAAGGTAAAACAGGTATTCTGTTAATATTTGGCTCATACTGTCGACATATAGTTGAATGATAAGTTTTCAGCAAGAAACCACACAAAACAATACTATGCAAAACTGTATTTAAATTTTCATGAAGAGATTTAATGCAGAGTAAGACGCGTTCAGTTATGCAAAAGCGTCAATGAAAACTTTTTATCAGAAAGCTCTGTTATGATTACAATTACATGCTGTTGGTTTGGACCATAAAGTAATATGACGTGTTCCAAAAATGGATTAACTACCTGCCAAAATGTTTCATGGAAAAAATGGATCACTATAGTGAAGTATTATTGAACCAATGACGAGATAATTGTCCCGACGAAAAAAACGTCTTATTCAAAAATAGATTGGATTGCGGCAAATGATTTTTTTTCTAAAATTCCTTTTAGTCCCTATTGTTACAGTAATACCCAGGTTTTACTGAACTTATGGTATAACTGGATACCGGAGAAATTTGTTCCTATTCGACGAAAACACAGGTCGAGTTTACCTCCTTGGATCACTTCTACTTCTACTTCAAGTAATATTAGGAAAACTAAATCGCTAAAAAGCAAACAGCCTACAATTTTTTCATCAAAAAAAAAATGATGACATCATACTGCTTGCTTCTCAAAACAAGTATGATATTGAAAACGACATGTGTAATTACGAGGAACCGTTTTCAAATCTCAGAGGTTTGACCTAATATACAAATACTTCAAACCCCTAAAATGCCATGATATCGTACCCAATACCATTTTCTTCAGCGAAAACAATGCAACTGAAGATGCCAAAAAAGCAAACTTGTTTAACCAACAATTTGGAAGTGTTTACAACCCAAAATTTGAGTACATTGGTAACCATGCTGACGATAGCAATTACCGCATTTTGAAATCTGTAACCTTTACAACAAAGGAAGTTGAAAATGTGTTAATGCAACTTGATACCAACAAAGCACGTGAAACCGATGAAATTCCGAATATATTTCTAAGAAATTATGCACCAACATGATTTTTATCGATACATACTCTAATGAAAGTATTTTGCAATAAAATATAATTTAACACTCAAAAAAGGTCCCAGTTTTTTTTTAAAAAAAGGTGATAAATCGACCACCGAAAATTACCGGCCAATTTCCTTACTAAATGCAACATCGAAAATCTTGGAGAGGTTCTTGTACATTCGCATCTACGATCGTTTTGAACCCTACCTTTCTTCAACGCAATAAGGTTTTACAAAGAACAAATCTACAACTCTCCAGATGTTATCGTACCTCAGTGAAATCTACAATGCTAAAGACGAAAATCAAGACAATTCAATGAGCGTGAGGATTTTTACTCTTCATATGTAACGACAACAGAGAATTCTGCTTCGACTCACACTTGTTTGAACAGAAAAACATCGAAAATGATCTAGGCATAGAACTTTCAGATAATCTAAAGTGGGATGTGCATATAAACACGAGGTGTAACAAGGCGTATTCCTCATTCCACATGGTGAGTGTGTAATCTATCTCTACATATCGACCAATATACCAAAGTACACTTATTTCGAGGAGTTTTGATATCAATTTTATTATATGGAATGCAGGTGTGGTATCCAAGTAAAGGTTCAATTCGTTCTACTGAGCTATTTCAAAAGCGCGTTACAACGTGGACACACCCGAATACCGACCGCCTCAAGCACCTTGGAGTATTTTTCAAACTGTTTTACAGACAGATACATGATATTGTATATTCAGTAAAAATCTTTCAAGTAAAGTACAAAGTTCCATGGAGAGAATATGTTGGCATCAACAAAAAGCTCAAACACACCAGAGCAACTGTTGTACAAGAAGAATCGTTCGTACTTCAAAAACTTTGACCAACATCCACTAAGAAAAACTTGTGCCACCGAGTTATTCTCTACATCAACAAAGTGTCAGCCAAGTGATAAATTTTGGGAAAAGCGTCAAGAAAGAACTATCAGTCTTTTACTGCGACTACTTTGTATCTCGTTACGACTACTACAGCATAGAAAATTGGACCTTATTGGGTATCTAACGAAAAAGACTAGAAAACTAAAACTTTCGACGGCATTTTAAGCCCTTCCATTAATGGAGAAACCCATTATTTTTATGATTATTATTATTATTATGATTATGATTTTCATTATGATTTTTATTATGATTATGATTGTTATTGTCATTATTAGGATTATTTTAATGATTATTATTTTTAATTATTATAATGGTTATTATGAAAAATATTCTTAAAGATATTAAGATTATTATTATGATTATGATTATGATTATTATTTTTATTTTGATTATTAATATGGTTAAAGGGCAGATGTAGGATTTTCTTGAGAGGGAGATTTGATTTGATTTCAAAAAAAAATCGAAATTTTTTTCGCTGTTTCTTAGGTCGACCAAATTAATTTTCAAAGCTCTCCCGAAGCACTAAAAAGACCCCCTTTGGCCAAAGTTTCTGCGCCTAAGGCAAAATTTTGAAAAAACAGGCTAAAAAAACGTTTTTAGGCTATTTTTTGAAAATGTTGACCAAAAACTCGCGTTTTTTTTCGGCGCGCGCTCCTCCCTCAAAATTAACTTATATTGGCGCCGAAAGCGCCTTTAGAATGTTTATCGGATCATCGCCAAAATGGATATCTCAAAATAGTATAGTAAGGGGTATGTAAATAGTTCAAAAATGGATATCTCAACAATCCCTTTGGGTCGGCAGGGGTTCGAATCCCTGAAAGAAGATGCACCCAACCACCCCCGACCCCCATTTCTAAATCCGCCCCTGATTATTGGGTTATATTTTACGGAACTACCCATTCAGGGTCAATGTTATTCAACCGGCGGAAAAACGGAAAAAACTTCAGTTTTACGGAAAGTTTAGCTCAAAATCATCTGGAAAAATGAGCAGAATTTCTTGACGTTTCTGTTCCACTTATAGATGTTTTTCCAAAAACTCCAATAACTCGCTATACCTACTAATGTACATTACTTACACAGTAAAAAAAACATGATTCTTATAACAAAATATTATTTCCAAGGGTACCCGTAACGCCTTTAAACCAGATAAGCAAATTAATAAACTTTGCATACTACGTGGCTGAATTGGAGCGGTACATAAATCCAATTACTTTCCGGGCTCCTTTTTTTCACTCAATCGCGGCAACCATCCAAAACGTGCAAGCAGAATGATGATCAATGACTGAAACCAGGATTTTAACATAAAATATTTAGTGCCACACTTGTGTTGACCGAGAATGCTGAAAAATTGCGCATCAAAATTTATCTCACTTTTGAATCTGCCAAGAGACATCAAAACAAAACCAAGCCGTCTCATAGCAGATAAATTTTTGATCTTTTGATTGTCAGTTAGTTTGAGTCCATCTGTTGAATTTTCGTTGCATTCAATTTATGCACGATCATTTTTCTGGCTTTTTCATTGCGAATACAAAAAAATTAGTTTTTGGGGTGACGGCGTATGGGTTCCACATAAACTTGAAACTTAACTTTTGCCTCAATTTGTAAAATAATAGTAAAATTTTTGTATCTCTTGAATTGAAATTGGTAGCCCACTCACTAGAAACCATAATCCTAAAAATTTTTCGTCTTGTCCAATCAGAAATCTTTCCCGCACTTGTTTTGTGCAGCAACGAAACTTTCAGGCGCAGAAAAATTGCAGATGAAATTTTGCTTTTCGGTGAACATAATGCATTAATTGACTAAAAAGCCCAATAAACTTCTTGTGAGTTATAAATCATTTTTGCTACAAAAAACTGTTTGATTTTTTCGACAAATTGAACAAAAACAAGTTGCCATGAGCAATGGAACTGCCCAGTTGGCAACTATAACTGCAAAAAAAAAAATTTTGCTAAACTAGTTTTTTCTACAAACGAGTGCATTAAAGAAAACCTAATTTCCCAGTTTGTTAACAAAACTTCAAAAACTCCAAAGAATGAAAGAAAAGATTCAACAGAGGTTATTGCTTACCGGCCAAAATCTTTCATCAATTGTTTCATCATATGAACTAATTCTGTTTAAAAAAGTTGTTGCATGCCTAGAAAAAATTTGTTCAGAAGACATAATTAGTTGTCCAAAATAAAACCGTCACTTCACACAATTTTAACCTTGATTATTTTAACTTTAAAATAATATACAATCTTAAACGTAATCAAAATATTATAGCAAAATAACAGGCTCTAGAAAAACTAATAACATAGGAGTTCTTCTTACCAAAGTTTCGCTTGCTGATACTTTCGATCTGTTTACTGAAAAAAATTAAGTCCTTCAACAAAAAATCACAAACGAGTATTAGCTCTCAAACGCAAAAAGTGATGAGCTTCCAATCACTTGAGTTGACTCAAAATCTAAACACAATCAAGGAATATTCAGAAAAAAGCTAAATTTACATAACATTTGTAATTACGTTATCTTTGGATCACTTGATCTTGTTCATTATTTATGCTTCAACTTTTCAAACCTTTGATTATGTTGAAAGTTACTTATTTATGAAAAAAGGACATGCTAAATCTGTAGACTTTAAAATGTTTAGTCAATTCGATTAGCAAAAGACAGCACGAAATTTTTTATAAGTATCCATGGATTTTGTTTCAACTGTTTGCGCCACATCTGTTTGCAGCCCGATTTAAGAAAGAGGAAGTTTGTTACATACGTAGGGATGTTAAAGGAGTTTTATCAAAAAATTTTGATAAAAGAGTTTTGCCCTCATGCGATATCTAGTACAGCATATTTTGAACTGCGCCTCTTCAGGCAAAGATTGAATCACTCAGTTTGACCAAAATCAATTTAAATATTTACTAAAAGGCCTAACTATCCGTCAATGATGCGCATGTTTTAGAAAAAAAAGTTTTAAAGAAATACTTTTACGGAGCAACAAAGCGCTCAATAAATCAAAACACAAGAAAAGTTTAATCAAAAAATCTTTTGTTCTTGTAAAAACCACACTAAGCACAAACATTCCATCTTTTCTTCTCCAATCGCTTTTTGAATGCGCTCTACCGAGTTTTTTAGAAGCATGTTTTTTTAGCATATTTCTCATATCACAAATATTTTGGTTAATAGAGTGATTTTCGCGGTAAGAAGTAACAATTTGGCGTATTCTGATGATATATTTCCTGAAATTGGA